GCTTGAAAAATGACAGGTTGGGTGAAGGTCAGCTGATGTATATAAACACAGATATTTGTCTTTATAATAATCAGTAAATACTTGGAAAATGCTCTACGTAAGTTAAAAGTTATAAGTAGGCAACTTTCTAGTAAATTACTCGAGGCTGTTAAGCAGCAGATCTCTCTGGACTTTTGGCTGTTTTACCATGTCATATTTCCACACAGATGTTCAAGCTGCTTTTTCTACAATTTATCTGTTGTATTGGGCACACTTAGACTTTTTTATGTGGTAGAAATATAGGTTTTATCTTTTCGTACTTCCATGAAAGTTCTGCATTGAGGGTTCTCAAAATAAAATCTATAGACTTGTACTAGTGCTCATAAGTAGAAAATATGTTCATTCGTAATGCTATGCTGGGTCTAGTGTAGACACTCCCTGGGAACAGAAACACATGTTAATTGTAGCCTAGTCCAAGACACTAAATCTCAAGAGGGTTTTTCACTTGACTAAATGAGGAAACCATTAAAAGGTATTCCTTACCTAGAGTCTCTGCTTTCACTGCTATTTAGAATCACTGGTTAAAATAATAAATAACCCTGGCAGCAGGGACTTGGAACTCAGGTCTCTTTTCTCCCAGGGGAACATCATAGCCAGTAGGCTGCAGACTCACATTACCTCTTGCTTGCTTCTGGCCCTGTGAATCTTGTGTTCTCAAAAGCCAGATGGGTTGGATACAACTGGAGGAGTGGGGAGGGAAGTTCCCACCCAGCCTAGCTCTTACTCTGTTGGTTAGGATACTCTCCTGGGAAGCTGCAATTAGGGGGGTTGAATCCTATCAAGCTGAAGAGGACTACGTCCTGGGTAATGGGTTACTACCACATGCATTTTGCATTGACTCGGTTGTGCTGTTAGCAGTGGCTCCCAACCTTTTTAAAACAAAGCCACCCCTTGCTAGATCCCTCAGAAAATGCTAGCTTTTATCTTCTACTCATTCCTTGGCTATGGAAACATAATAGAACAATGCTTCTGTTTCTAAGAACTCAGCAAGACCACAAGTCCAAATCTTATGGAGTATTTCGGATTCCTATTTGGAAGCTCTGTGTTTATCCCGTGAAACATATGCAGGTGCTTATACTTTGTAGCACCTTGGCTCAGAATAATTGCATTAGGCATATTCTGACTTCATCTAAGGTATTGGGGATGTAGGCAGAGTTGGGGTACCTCTCAACATTAGTCTGAATTGCAGGAGAGTTTAGGTGGAAATTATGTGCCTGGGGTTTGATCTGGGTCACTTTTGAGCATATATGTTTTTAGGTACCTAGGGATTATTTCTGGGGCAAAATGGAACTGCTTAGGGAATGTGCCTACGTACACACTTCCTAATTGCTCAGCAGGATCAGTTTATGTTTCCCTTTGTAGCATGGCTAAATCCTGCCTAGGACCTGCTTAGGTATCTTAAGCTAGGTACCGACATTCAAAAAGCCCAGTGTGGGTTCAATCTAAGTTACACAGTTTTCTATAAGTGGCGTAGTTTAGCATAGTTTAGATTGGCAGTGAACAAAACACACATTTTCCCTTGGAGGGGAAGGAGCAAATCTTGGGCCGAGTTCCACCATTTTTAACCCAGTCTCTGTGCACCAAACTTCTGCCCTGTTACGGGTATAGACTGATTTCCAATCACTTATATTGGTAGAAATGTAATGTCTGCACCTGGCCCTAATGGCCAACTAGGATCTGTCTGTAAGTAACTAGCTCGATATCATAGGGGAAATTCCAAGTTCCAAGAGGTAGTAAAGGATTCCCCCAGGCCGATGCCTTTATCCAGCTATATTTCTGCTGTGCTCTGTGAGGTGCCCAATGCAATTTTGCAGGACACACCAAACAATACAAGTAATACAGGCATTTATGTGGGGTCTTTTTTATAAGAAGTTCTTGTGACATAGCAGTCCTGGCACATGTTTTTCTTTTCTTCATAAATTATTTCAGTTTATGGAGGAAATTTTAGATGTATAATTTCCTATAAATTTTTATATATTTATTCCTATAAATATATATAAATATATATTTAATTTCCTATAAAATTCTATCTATCTATCTATCTATCTTCTAACTCAGGGGGAATATGCAGAGACTGTGCCTTGTCTGACCACCTAAAAAATGCCATACTTGTTATATGAGCAGAGAATGTAAATGCAACAGATTTTGATTCACTGGAATCGGGCTGCATCCACATAGGTGCGCGTGTGCACCTTGCAGCATCTCAAAGCCCTTTGAGATGCTGCAACAGGCACATGTAGGAACGAAAAAATGTTCCCCGCACTGCAAATTTGTCAGATTTGACCCCTGGCTATCCAGGGGTAAAAAAAAACCATGGGGGAAAAAAGCAGGGAAGGGCAAGGTACTGGACCATGCCCTGAGGCAACTGGAGGCTTGGTCCTCCACAGAGATGCTGTGGTAGCCAGGAAGAGCGTCTCTATGGCTAGCCCTCTATGGCTGGATCTGGGCTCTGTGCCCGGGTAGGGGATGGCAGAGGGGGAAGGGGCCACAGGAGGACTCCCATCAGCCCTGCCTGCTCCTTCAGCCCCTGATTGTTACCCCCCAGCCCCCCGCAGTCGCTGTCCCATCCATCCTCCACCTGCTCTCCCAGCCTCTGGATCACTGCCCCACCTGGCCCCATC